TACCTTGTAAACTTAATGTACTTTATAATAAGAGCGATTTTATCTGATCAATCTGAATTATTACAGGTCAATTCCTATAAGTACCTTTAATGAAATAGTAGATTGGAGCTAAAAATTAAAATTAATAGTAGTGACCTATGACTATGAAGTAGGTTTCCTGTGGCGGATAAAATCTACTTACATTTAACAGTAAGTACATACTCTTAGCATTAAAAGCTGTATTTATGTAATTTGGCTAACGATTAAATTATTTCCCAACGAATGAGTTAACCTTGTTGTCCAGGTCTGGGCTAAAAAAGATACATATAACTTACTATGTATTATGTAGTTGGTACTTGGTAGGTAATAGTTCCAAACTCTTGCAATGTTGGTTATGTTTGCATTGCAGCACGTGCCTAAAGACTTCTTTAGACACGCTTCTTTTCTTCTATTCATCGATCCATATAGAGACTTAGTAGTAAAGCTTGCCACCTAATAAGTAACTACCTTTACTAAATCCAAAGCTATGAAGCTTTAGGACCTGTACCTATACGCAGCATGCGCACCGAAGGAAGACTTATCTTGAGCGTGAGTAGACATCAGACGTGTCAAATCGTATGGAATTTATCAAGAATTTTGACATAATAGTATAGATAGGTAGAGAAAATCTATGTCGCGTGGTCACATGCTAAGGGCACTAATACGGTTTAGCTAAAAATGCTGCAAGTGTACCGATGTTTATCTATTAAAATATTACGCACGTGTATATTACACGCCTATAATATTCCACACGTGTTTTACGCTATCAACTACTTCATCTGTACAGATCTGGTGCGATGCAATGATACCGTTGTACGCACGTTGTACTTGTACTTGTACCTTAGTAACCTCAAAGTCAAGGTTGTGCTCAGTGGACCGACTGAGCTGGCATAACCACGTTGCGTCACTGTGTGACAGGGTATTGATCTATGGGGTTACTGTTTATGGTGAAGAATGATTGTTTTAGTTTTGGTCACAGCTTTGGTTGCCATGAAAGTCATAAGCACATGCGAATTAAAGATACTAAGTAATGGGCTTTTCGTAAGTTGGAGGCTATGCATAGTATGCATTCTGAATTTTAGACCAAATCCTGAGAGTAGAATTTTTCGCAACAGAATTTTTGGTTCATGCATAAGGCGGCAACATAGTTTAACTGGGTTGATCCAAAACTATAGTGATTGGAGATGAATTTAAGTATCTACGTTGTATTTATTTTGTGATAGATTACTTCAGATGAGATGTCAAAGTTCTGTTGGATATTATTATATATGTATTACTATATGTATTACTCTGAAATTGTCTACCTACGCATAACGAAATTGACTTTCAACAAACATTTATCAAAAAATCCCAACGGCTGCAGTATCAGAGGCTATCTTCCCAGATGAAACATGAGACACAGACAAGTGTAAGAGTGATTGTCATACATCGGAGCGACGCGTGTTTCACGCGTGTAGATGCCGTCTCTTCAGTTTTATACATTTTATATGGAAACAGATACACATCTCACGTCTCCGTCTCATGTATTAAGCGTCATCAGTGGAGTTAGCACCTTACGCCATGCCCAGAGGGATGTAGTTATTCCGTGCTCTGGTTACCTCAATGTCAAGTTCACATTAAACCAAGCGGTACACTAGTTGGTCTTACATCACGGCCCATTACAGGGTATTGATCCATGGATTACACGTACAAGTAACTGCTGGTGATCATGTTGACGTGTGTAATGATGTGGGTATGTGGAGCAGAACATGTGGGTGAAGATATTTGATGCTGGATTAGATTATTGAATAGCTGGAAGTTTTAGTTGGCAACAAGTCTACTAAGACTACTGCAGAGACTTTTATTGTAATATCATGAAGACCGATCAACTCGTTGAGGAATGTTATTGATCATAGTATAAATTAAACGAAATGTGTTAACCGATAGAGCACCAAGGATTGCTTTTTTAGTTGTACATAGGATTTGAAGGTATTTAATTGTTCCATTTTGTTCGTTGACTTGGTGTCCACACTTTAAGATGACGAGCTATTTTTTAAAGGTACTCTTTTAGGTGGACTGATGAAAGTTGTCCAAAGCACATCTTATAAAATGTAGGCAGAATGAATGGACAAGTAGCCGGAGTTAATCAACAAAAACCTGCATATCACTGCTCTACGCATAACTTTGAAGAAATTCTAGCAAAGAATTTGGCTTCTGGCAAGCAAGTATTATGCAACACCATATGCTACTAATAGGCATTTAAAAATAAGTATGCTATGAATATTTATGATATAATATTACTACACAGATAATGCAATTAAGCGTTAAGAAAAATTTCGGTGCCACATGGTTGCTTTATTATTTTGTTTATTTGGAACTTTTGAGAAAGAATGTTTTGATCGAAGTTCTTTAGATATTTGACACTTTTATCAATGCGTTGAATTGTCATCATTTACGATCTAAAATTTGTAAAATGCTGTGTATTAGTGAAAATATATTTTTTTATTTGGATTAGTAGCTTTTATGTCATATAGATAGCGTTTAAGGTACCTATGCTATTGGCAGGCATTGGAATGTGGACTATACTGATAATATAACGTAGAGAGAAAGATGCGTGATACGGCATGGAGAGAAAATATTTTAAGAGTGTACACGAAGGAAGGATCTTGCTACGGAAACAATAAAGCTAGCTCAGTTGGCTGAGCAGTGGATTTTGGTGGGTTCAAGTCCCGGCCAACGAACACATTTATAAAATTTGCTTGTGTTCATTTTCATTTATGGTAACAATAAAATCCGTCAAAAGCACTTCGTAATAAAATCAAATTCCTTATAATACACAAATCGAACCCTCCAAAACACCTCGACAAGTCCTATATCATTTTACGTCCAAAAAATACATATTCACCTCACGCACCTGTATTGTATACCGGCTTTCCTTGCCAGGACCGGGGCGCGCGCAGGTACCGCGGCGCGGTTATAATTTGTAGGTTAATGTGTGACCGACTGTCACAAAAAATAATCGACGGACGAGGTGTGCTTGGGTCGAAAGGAGCGTTGGAATAACGGGACAAATATTGTTATTATTATTGATAGTGAGGATCGGATGAGACCTGCGGAATTTTAGGTTGTATGACATGGGATATGACAACATGCATGAGAAATATTTGATGTCGTATTCAAACAATCTAAAATACTACGATACTATATATACGAAAATATGAACTAAACTAGCAGTAAAGACATATCTAGCCGTAGGTACCGATTTTAAAAAGTTTTCACTCAAAGATAAATATTAGTATAGCTCACAAAAGCTCAATACTCACTAATTAGTTTTGTTAAATACGTGATGGATAGACAAGTTACCAAAATATTTAAAAACGTAAACACGTCAAAAAACAATAGAGCCACCGTTATCGATGTAAAGAAACATCGTCCATTCAATTTGACGAGAGAAAAGGTGCTCAATGGAGTATAAGGCGAAAAACACACATAACGTCCGACCGTATTTGTGCGTTATTTCTGAGCTGCGTAATGCATGCGTTAAGACAATACGAATTTAAACCGTATTCGGCATGTAAATACGGTTTATGTCAAACCATTTGACAGAGAAATCCGTCGACGCAGCGATGCGCGTTATTTTTGTGCTAGTGGATGCGTCTGACAAACCGTTTGTCAAAAATCGTGTTTTTGTGCCGAATAAGGTTGAAATTCGTATTGTCCTAAGTGTCCTAACGTATGCGTTTCGTTGCATAAGAATAACGCACAAATGGATGTTAAATGTGTTTCTCGCCTAATATATAATAATATTAAAAACTAATGTCCGTAGACCAAACAGTCATTAAGTTAAAGGGCAATCACGAAAGTTTTATAGTGATGGATTACAGGTATTAAAAGTTAACTTTGAAACTTTTGTGATGGCTTGGAGGCAATTTTTTACGCTGTTGATAGGTTAAAATAAAATAATTCAGTAAGGTTCGGATAACTCTTATACTATAGTCATCCCGAACCTTAGATGGAATGGCAGAATCATTGTATGAGATATGACAATTCGTACAAACAATCTTTGATGTCATATTTACACAATCTGACTACTAAACTAAACAAAATCATTATACCATGTCATACAATCTTTAATAGTTCTACGTTTATTCGCTATTTTAGGTGATAAATGCGATCTTATGGCATTCGGAAGCAAAGAAAATATATAACATTCATGTAACATTTGATCTCGTGCGGTCAGTAGATGGTATTTTCTATAAGTAGGTAACTATGAAAGCGGATAATACGGGGTGTAAGGGACATAGGGGAATACTGATAGTGTGCATTCAGACCATGAAATTGAACAACTTGCCATAGAAATAAATTTCAGGAAACAAAAAAAAATTTTCGACTTCCCATACAAAATCACGATCAAATATCATTTACTATAGGAAGTCAAAAAAATTTTTACTTTTCCTGAAATTTATTTCTATGGGAAGTTGTTCAGTTTCATGGTTTGAATGCACCCTTTCAGTATTCGGAGGGCTGTCCCTTACACCGTGTATAGGTAATGGGTGTGTTGAAAGAAGTTTTTAACTTTGGGTAGGCAAGCTAGCTACCACTTTTCGCTCACCACGTAACGTGTAGACTCCAAACCGTCCACCCACTTTGCGATTGAGGCTCCTCAATTTCCCTGCAATTCTGAGTTCGCTCACGCACTCGTGCGCAGGTCAATCGCTTTCCTGCGGTCGCATAAGTGGGCTTGGATCAGTCGGCCATCTTGATTGTGGGTCAGTGGGTATCGTAATTATAACGCTGGCATATTTATGAGTAAAAGCATATTACATTATGAGCAAAGGATGTGTGCTTGTGTGATGAGCATGCATTGATGGATCATCAAACAAAACTCTAGTATACGCAGTATAAGCTCAAGTTCTTTTCATGTATAAACGTTGAAAAAGCACAAAATAACATGAAAAAGAAAGGAAAATGAATCATTATGACAATATTTTTCATCTCCTGGTGCATCGATAGCTCAGTGGGAGAGCGGTAGGGCGTTAACTCATGCGGTCCGGGACCGAGCCCCGGTCTATGCATAATAATTTTTCAATTTCTTATTTTCAATATTATATTATGAGAATAATATAGCACTATATAATTGCATTACAAATCCCAATAGATAATTAATATTATTACTACCTATTAATTAAATTGGTACAAAGATATTAACAGACTACGAAATAGTATATCTTTCTACATCCTACATTGCCAAATATTTTGTACGTACCTAAAACTGAAATCTGTACAAAATCTTCGCGAATTGCACATCTTGTAGGTAACAACATGTTGTTGTACGATGTTAAATAATGTCATAGAACATTAGGCACCGGCACAACGTTATTCGGTTATTTCCACATCTTCTTCGCTCAGATTATGTTAAATTGCCATACGATTATGAAACGAATTGCTAGTGCTGGCCTGCGACTAGCTAAAATAAAATTGGAACTGGTATGTCATTTTGAATTCGAGCAAAACAGACACAATTCTGAAATTATTCTTTAATTTAACGTGGGAAGACTCAATGGTCGACCCAAGAAACTAAAAATCAGAGTTTTATTACAAACTAGCTGGTGCCCGCGAACTTTGTTTCGCCAAGAGAAGTTTTTGAGCCGACAGAAGCGGCACATCATGCTAAACAAATTTTTCAATACAGACATTTTCGTATCTCTTAAGGGCGCCACACACAGGGCGCGTATGCTTGACGTGCACGTCATCGCGCGCGTAGAGATGACGTTGTATCGTATGGGATTGTATGAGAGGCCTGCCTATGTATGCGTGCACGTAATCACGCGAGTAGCACGGTGTGCGGTGCCTCATTCAATCCCAGACGATACAACGTCATCTCTATGCGCGTGATAACGTGCACGTCACGCATACGGGCCCGGTGTGTGGCGCCCTTTAATATTTTGCCGAGTTCATGGTGTTCCGTCACGTAGGTAGACAGAGAGTACCTCCAGTGCTGATAAAGGTTCTCACTAATCATAAAATATGATCAGAACGTTTATCTTCCACCATACCAAACATCTAAAAACATCGCTTAATTTTTGAGTGATTCATGCACAATTTTTACACATAACGGTACGTTTTCATTTTCGATGTTTGTCTCATGGTTATTATTTTATGCGTGATTTGTACGATTAGGGCATGCAAAGATAATGGTGATGACGATGATGATGGAATAACCTGGAGAAACCCCAGACTACCGCCGATGTGAGTTTGTTACTTGACTTTGAAGGGGAAAGCCCACTTCGATCCCTCCTGTTTCAAAGTCTGAGCGCCTGAGTTAGGTACATCTTGATGATATAGGTAGTTGGATACAGTGTGTTGGTAACACCGGTGTTTTTTTATTATTTTTATGTGAAGGAGCAAATCCGAGTTGACCCATGTCGAAGGATGCTTGTTTCTTTCTATTTCTTCTACTTACTTATTTCACTTCTGTTTTTGTTTTCTTATTAAATAGTTGTGTAGGTAATAGGTATGTATACTTTTTATTTATTTAGGTACCTACCTACCAAAAGTGATAGGCCTGCAGGAGCAGCCCATCAAGCTGTACATATTTTTTTTGTAGCTGTTTCTAAGACACGCTATCGAAATGTTCTTTTGAAAACTATTGCAGGGGTACTTGACACCGACCTGTAACAGTTTTAATACATGTACATACAGATTTCTGTACTATCGCCAGCAAATCCACCTACCCATTTAAGACACAAACTAACGTCATTTTCAATCGATCGACATCTTTGATGTGAAGATAGATACTGTTGCTTTAGAATGTTGGGAAAAAAATGTTTTTATTTTTTGGCGTAGGTACATGTGAAAGGAGGATAAAAAAAACCATCTGCTATATTAAGTAGGGTATCGTTAAATAGATCTTTAAAAATTAAGGTGAGGTTTTTTTAAAAAAAAACACAGAAGTGATTCTGCCTCGAAGTATTTGCTTTTATGGGGAGATTTCTCTTCCTAGAACTAAATATTTGAAAAAAAATTAGTTCTTAGTCTGAAGTTACCATAAAAACTATATCGGATACTGTATCCACGCAAGTTTTAAGAAAAATAAAAGTTGTTTAATTTGTGGTTCATAAGCATACTTACTACTGCAAACAAACCAGCAACGAAATTAGGTAACTTCGTAACGCTGATATTTAACATTGACTACAAACCCTATTTGTGGGCATGTCTGACACGCTCTTGGCTGGTTTTTTATTTTGCTTTACTATTATGTTGGTACGTGTTCGAATCTCGACTCCAATATGGGAGTAAAAAAAACTGCAAATATTGTAAGGGGTGAACCAGTTCAAGAAACTTTTAGTAGATATCATAAGGGCGCAAAACAACACTTCTACGGCGAGGGCGCTTTTTTGAATTCAGAGCGAAGTAAGGAGTCCCTACAATGTACAACATAGTATTGTACAGCATAATATTGGCCGTCAGAGGAATGTACGACGTGATGGAGCACGACATGGTGGATGGAATCAAAACAATGTCGCCATCCATCACCCCGTGACGAAAGTGCACAGGGGTGGATTGCACGACATGATGGTTGGAGACATCACGTGTTGTGGTAGAATAGTGATGTGACTGGATCGATAATATTTTATGCATTTCTAACTTAATCGATATTGTTTTTATATTTAAAATATTCTTTAGTAAGCTTGGTCGCTCACTTCGTTCGCTCCAGGGGGTCACTGTTCTAACCTAACCTAACCTACTGTGTCGGATTTGTGTTAAGTATGTTTTTTTTACTGCGGGGGGCTGCGCCCCCCAAACCCCCCCTTGTGGGGGGGCTTTGCCCCCCCCGTCCCCCCTTCCGTGGGTTGCCTTGCATGTCATGTTTCAATAATAAATCGATAACTCGATCAAAGTCAACACTGTCACATCACTACATCCGCTGTGACGTCATTTGTTTTGATTCCATTTCCACCCCTGTGCATTATTGGTCCGGGCCCGTATTTCAAGACCATCCATCCATCACGTTGTACAATGATCTGCTGTACAATACGCTGCCGTGCCTTAACCTGCTGTACATTGAGTATGTCGTGCATTGTGGTTCCCCGAAGTAAGGGGTTCTAGAGTAGAATCCCCGAAGCCAAAATATATTTTGCGCCCGATCACTCTACTTTTCATCACCCTTTATGAGAAAATAAAAGGCGCCTCATATTTTATTGCAATGTTATACTTTCACTGTCACTTGAACTAATTTTTCAAAAAGTTAAATAAAATTCTAACATACGTGTAATTTTTGGTGAAAATTACGGACTATAATTCGCGCGTATCTTTTTTTTAGTTCTATTGGGGACGCGCGACTATGGGCCGTCGTCCCATACAGCCTTTATTCGAAAAATAAATTTATAAGAACAAAATTTGGCGCTGACTGAACATCAAGATGTTCTAAATTCAAAGTAGTTTTATTCGCATTTGTTGAGTTCTTTATTTAAAAAGTGCAAATAAAAGAACTTTGCGGCGCGTTCTTTTCGAATAGATAGGATGAAAACAACTTTCGCCAAGAAACATAGGTAGTTCAAAATACGGGGTGTTAGGGACGGTGTAACGAAAACTTTGCAGGCGTGCTCAGACCATCAAACTGAACAATTTTCACTATGGAGCCAATGGTGGAAAACGAAAAAAAATTTCTGACCTCCCATACAAAATTTACGATCAGCTGACTGACTTTGTATAGGAGGTTGAAAAATTTTTTTCGTTTCCCACCATTGGCTCCATAGTAAAAGTTGTTCAGTTTGATAATCTGATCATGCCAGCAAAGTTTTCGTCACACGGACACCGTCCCTAACACCCCGTATAAGGAGTAAAAAAAATTACTGCAAATATTTTAAGGAGTGAACCAGTCCATGAAACTGAACAACTTTCCCCAGGGAACATAGGTCGAAATATGAAAAAAGAATTTGGACCTCCTATACAAAATGTTCTGGCCGGCCGGTTCAGTTTGAATGGGAGGGCCAAATTTTTATTCGTATTTCGACCTATGTTTCTTAGGAAAAGTTGTTCAGTTTCATGGACTGGTTTAGTCGTAAAATACGTGCAGTTATTTTTTTACCTACTGTAGGAAAAAATAATTGGACCTCCCATACAAAATGCACCAGCCGTCTCGATAGCCGACCAAGTTAAATTTGTAGGGAAGGCAAGGAAATTTGTTTTCATTATTCGACCTATGTTCCTTGGGGAAAGTTGTTCAGTTTCATGGACTGGTTCACCCCTTGGAAAAGTTTGAGTAGTTTTTTTTACATCTTATAGTAACTTATTCCTCTACCGCACGCAACGCACGCAATATCGATTTACGTGCAAACTTATTTCAAGTATAGTGGCTACCCCCCCTTTTAGGGGTCGAATTTTTTTAGCCTATAACCTGGTCGGTAATTTTCCCGACATTTTGGTATAATTTGCATCAAAATCGGTTCAGTCGTTTTTGCGTGATGCTTTCACATACAAACAGATAAACAAATAAACAAATAAACAAATAAACAGATAAACAGAAAAAAAATCTAAAAATTGCTGAAACGTGTTCTGTTATCAATTTTAAGTATCACCAAACAGTTTTTTTTCGAAAATCTTCTATGTACAGACTTTCGACCCTCTACAACTTTATTATATGTATAGATACTACCTGATGCGATTTCTATACTTCATTATAAAACGAATTAATGTTTTGATAGAACGTTAAATGTTAAATAACGCTGATATTTTGATGACATTAATTCATATACCATGTAACAAAAAGGGTCAAAAACAAGCCAAAAGGAGGTCAAATCACTCATAAAACTGAACAACTTTCGGAATATGAAAAACAAAAATGGATTCCCCGTAAAAAATTGCCAATCAGCTGATTGATTTACTATGGAAGGTCCAATTTTTTTCCATATTTCGGCCCATGTTTTAATGGGGAATATTGTTCAGTTTCATGAGTACATTGACCTCATTTCAGCTTGTCAGCTTTGTTACACCCTGTGTAACTAAAATTGATATTATGTTTTATGCTTACGAAAGTAGCGGCGCATCACTAGTAAATCTCTCATCTTAATGT